GCCGAGACTCGCTTTGGAGCGGTAACATACGGGAGTAACCATATCCACTATTTCGTGGCATACATTTTTGCTTACTCTAAAAAATTTCACGAATTTCTGGCCAATGGAAAAGGCAGATCATCCCATCCTATTTCCTTTGCTTCTGAAGCATTTTTCATGTCTTCTTGGATTATGTTAGGTATGTTATTCAAGATAATCTCAATAAAATAATCCACATCCACATTCATTTTAATGAAAATACACAACGAATACAAAAACGAAAAAACCTTGAATTTCAAAGGAGAAAACGAAAACGTCAAGCTTGAAAACAACGTTAAGTCTTGAGGTTAGAAACCCTGACGGGAATTCGTTTTCTCTTGGGTAAGAGGATGGGAACTTCAGAATTCCCGGGAACTTTCACTTCACAGTCCCATTTTTAAGAATATGACATGTGTATCTTTTTGAGGTAAACCACGTCCACTTCCCGAACAAGTTCTCCTCCCCAGAAATCAAGAATACGGCCCCTGGGCTGGGACTCTGTAACGAATAGAGATATCTTCTCTATCTCTATTGACGTCTTCTCTCTATGAATTTTGACAAGAGAGAAGAAGACAGCAAGTGCCATAGCGATAGGGATAACGATCTTTATCCCTTACAGAGTTCCAGCCCTGGAGTGCTTAAAATACGTCATTGAATTCACTGGCAAGCGACTCTAGTATCGCATTAAAAAAAAAAATTAAATAGAAAATCAACAACAAAATTTGAAAAAAAGTGTATTATTTCAAAATGTATTCTCACGCTGGCAACGCAGCGGGTCATTAGCTAGTTATAAAACTAAAAGAAGACTTATTAGATCTTGTAATGGTCAAGAATCAGATGAAGGACGCACTATAGTAATACTTGAGGTAGATAATAGAATTTATGCAGAAAATGAAAGAAAGTTAAAGAATGAATTAGGAAAGATCTACTCAAGGACAGCAACAATGAGAAAATGGAGAATCGGAAGCAGCTAGAAAAATGGAGAATAGGGGAAGGTTACTTATTTTATGTGACGAATATGGTCGCCATCAACTTTTATAGTGAGGAAAAAACAATGTTTTGTGATCTCAAAGATTGGAATGGTTTCAGAAAAAATAAGGTGGAAATTGCAAGTCTTATAAGCACCACCGGTCTTCTATGAGTAAAAGTAATGCCAATCGAAAGTAGTCAAAATGATGTTAAAGTTTTAAAATCACAACAGACATTTAAACATGAAACAACAATTCACATTAAAAGAGTTTGCTTTACTTTAATCTTAAAACTATTTTGGCTCACACCAAAAACATTGATATTTTCCCTCTCCAGCACAGCAGCTCATTTATTTCCCGACACATCTTTGAAAGAGGCGAGTTAAAACCGTAATTAGTGCAACGATATTGCACTTCAAACAATCTATTAGCTCTCATTGTTCTTTGTGGAACTAAAATACCAATATATTTTAAAAGATCAGGTACATCAATAAAATTATGTAAGATCTTAAATAAAATGATGACATCCAATAAAAAAAAAAACATCCAAAATGGGTTAATTATATTTGGTATACAGGGTGTTCCGAAACTATTGTGCCAAAAATTGAGGAATGATAGATCTCGCCAAAATAAACGTTTAGGCGCATGCGCTTTGGTTAAGTGATATTAGCACACGGAGAAACGTGTTTGAATAAGCAGAACCTGTGTTATTAAATACTACAGAACCCAAAGAATGCTTGCAGTATTTATTTAAAATAATGATTCACATCAAAAGATGCTCAAAACTACGACCACCCGTCTCAATGCATGTGTAACAGCGTTGTAGCAGAAATATCGAGTAGATTTCTGCAGGAAACCCTTCCCGAAACTGTTTCCCTGTATGCCAGACAAAACAAAGGGTACCAACACGACAGACCACCACCACATTACTTGTTAGCCTTAAGAGAAAATCTCAACGAAATATGTGGAAAGAGTGATGGTTAAGGGGGCATGGACTCCACGTTCACCAGACCTGACGGAATGCGACTTTTTTCTATGGGGTCATATGAAAGCTCTTGTTTACGACACTCCAGTTGAAACAGCTAGAGGAAGTTAGTAGGAAGGATTATTACAGCAGCTGCTGAAATTCTCGAAACACCATGAATTTTTCAACATGTCCAGGAGGCCATGCTACGGCGCTGTCACGCACGTATGGAGGTGGGTGGTCTTAGCTTTGAGCATCTTTTGCTGTGAATCATCGTTTTTAGTAAATACTGCAAGCATTCCTTGGGTTTTGCATCATTAAATAACACAGTTTCTGCTTTAGACACGTTTCTCCGTGTGTAAGGTGGCTACCACAGCGCGGCCTGTAATGTTCTATTATCAAATAACCAAAGCGCATGCGCCTATGTGTTTATAAGTAAAAAATGTTTATTTTGGCGCGATCTATCATACCTCAATTTTTGGCACAATAGTTTCGGAACACCCTGTATACATACACCAATGATTAATCCCAACTTTCTTATATTGTATAAAATGTATCTAATCCCTATCCAAGAACTTACCATTAGGAATAAGTACCCTTACCCCTTACCTATTACTTACCACAAACATTTACTACAATACTTTATGGGGATGCCCAAAAGTTGAAAATGTTTACCTTTTTAACCAAGAAGCATTAAATTAAAAAGAATCATGTGTCTATAACCTAATTACTGACAGACCACAACAATGTCCTTTCACTAAAGTAAAAATATGGGAAAACGACAGAGACAACTCCTGAATGGACAACTATTAGTCATCCCTAAGAAAAATCTGCCAATAATTAGACATATGGATATTATAACTAATCCAACACTATACCATTTCCAGCATTATTTCACACTAGTGAAATTTGATTTCAAATTAATGAAAATTAAATTCACATCAGTGAAATCTAATTTCGCTCAAATGAAAATTGATTTCAAAATAACGAAAACCAATTTCTCACTAACGAAATTTGATTTCACATTTTTGAAAATGAATTTCAAACTGACCCTAATTAATACTTATTTTTCAAACATCTATTATTTCAGCCTAATGAAATAAACCCACTGAGTTTAGGAAACTGTGGTTTAGATAACATAAAATACAATCATGAAATAATTATGAATTATATAAATAAATTAAACTTCAGTTTGGCAAATCACGTAGAAAGGCATAATGCAGCTATCTCAAGAGTGAGAAGACTCAACTGAAGTTCAATTTATTTAAATAATTTATAATTATTATTGTTAATTGCTTCATGATTTTATTTTATCTAAGGGAAGTTTGTGTCCTATCGGTATCCAATGAAGGGGGTGATTCGTCGGTTAGGACAAAAAAAATATTAAAAAATTTGTCTTTTTACAATTTTATCAATGTATTGTGATTTGGTTATGTGCACTTGAATGTTCCATCCTGAAAAATCTCGCACTGTTTTATATAATTCTATCCACATAATTTTTTAAGTACACTTCAGTTTGTTAGCACTTTTTTGATGTTCCTAATATATATTTAAGCCCTGATGAAGCCCTAAACTTTTGGTTGAAACGTTGGCAAAGACTTAACAAGCCTTTTAAGTTCTATTTGTCCTAACCGACGAATCACCCCTTCATTATATTTTACGTTATGTGAACTCAGTGGGTTTATTTCATTACAATGAAATAAATAACATTTGTTGATGTTTTTTTTCAAATTAAAATAATAAATGTTTGAAAAATGAGTATTAATTAGGGTCTGTTTGAAATTCATTTTCACAAATGTGAAATCAAATTTCGTTTGTGACAAATTAGTTTTCGTTACTTTGAAATCAATTTTCATTTGAGCGAAATTAGATTTCACTGATGTGAATTTAGTTTTCATTAATTTGAAATCAAATTTCACTAGTGTGAAATAATTCTGGAAATGGTATAGTTTCTTTTGAAAAATGCTTTATAAAAATACAAAATCAAACATTTTTGGAAATCAGTGAAAACTTTAATTTTGAACTAAAGATTCCAAAAATAGACATCCCTGAACTTCAAGAAATCAACCAAGAAGTCCTAGAAGAAGGCTTTAAGACGACGAAACAAATAAAAATCCACAATCTCAAAGAATTGTCCTTTGAAAACTCTCATTTGAATACATATGTCACTATAGGGCTAAGTCTTGCTATTTTAATCATAATTTTATTGTTTTACTCGTTTAAGAAGTAAAACTTCAAAAAAAGGTTACGCACATGTGCAAATTGAATTGTTTGATTCGGATAAACAACAATCCACGTTTGCAACACCTCGAGGAGGGAGGAATTGTATTAACCAATTGCCACGCTAATTAATAAGCAAATATCCATTTTTTATATGCTTTAATGAGATAACCCCCTTCCAACATGATTTTTTTTAATACACTGTTGTAAAGTAAACATCAAGTTGCTTAATCGGCATTAAATGATTATTTAATTCAGCGCAGTCCCATAAGTAATATTCATTTGTTTTCAAACTTTTGTTGTAGCAACTTGACCCAACTATTTTCTTTTGTCACCTAATGTGTTTCAGGTTTCAATTAATTAAATAAATGTTGTTTCAATACACAAGTTTTTGAATTGAAAATATAATTCACCCATTCACTAAAAAAATAATCAAAATTGTCATACGAAACAAAAGATTTATAAAAAGGAGACAACTTACTTGCTAAAATTAAAGTACCACCATGCAACGAATTCTTTCTGCTAAATTTAGAGGAACATAGTGATGCAAATAGAAACATTCATCTAGTTTTAACCTGTGTTCTGTAATTAAAACTATATCTAGAAAGTTTCCATTTTTTAAAAATATAAAAGTCATCACATTTCTTTCTCAAGAACTGATTAATTAAAAGTTTCAAAGATAAACCAAACTTAGTTTTCCTTTGCTCAAAACTTAAATAAGAATTATTTAAACTCTGTCTCGTGTTTGATAATTCAGAAGGGAATTTATATTTTCTAACATTTCAATTCCAATACATACTAGATTCCTTTTTTTAAATAAAAGTTCTTACCTCCTCCGCGTCCACCACCTCCTCTTCGTTCGCCGCCGCCTCGTCCGCCGCGGCCTCCTCTAGATCTGCCGCCTCCAAAATCATCCGACGATCCTCTATTGTTATCTCCCCAGCCACCTCCTCCTCCGCCACCGCCACCACTACCCCATCCTTCTCCATCTCCATTAGATTGGACTGCTGTGAAGCCTCTTCCGGCTGAGAAAGTTGTGCCTCCTTCTGACACACCTTGCTGGAAATAAAATTATCAATCAAAAATTGATCTTCTAAATTCTAGTTTTTGGAATGTAAATAACTATTACATAATGGTTATGTTTTATAAAATGTATAAAATATTCAAAATGATTGTATAATAGTAATCAACATTATTATTGCATCAATTTTTTTTGTATGCATTGATTTTCAAAAAATGTTAAATAGTATAAGTATTATATACCTAGCCAAAAAGTTTATAGCCTGACCGAAGGGAGGGCTATCATTTGTCCAGGGATTAAAAAAAACTCTATTGCTCGGGTGTAAACACTATTTTATGTACTTTAGAGGGATTAGAATTACAGGGTGTCCCATTGAAGATGGGGATTAAGTTAGTTGGGTTAGTTCTAGCACACCAATGAAATCTACCAGTAAATTCATCATTTTATTAATAACAATTATGTTCATTATGTTCACTACATTTCCTCTCTTCAACAAATTCTACCATCTGTTTGGTTTAGTCCCTCATCAGTTAGGTACTTTATAACTTTATTGCTTATTCAGGTTCTAAAGATATGCCAGCTGGAATTAATGCAACAACCAATGTCCTGTGAAAACCAATATGCCAACAAGATGTTTCCGTTTATCGGTACTTGGTACCTCTATTGCAGGGACCCAAATTATTATACATAATAAATCAATATACCCATGGAGGGTGTTCTTGCCGCCAAAGATAGAGTACTTTTTTCAGACTTAATTTTATTATTCCAGATGGTGAGAATTGCCTTGAGAATTATAAACTAGTTGTCCTTTAGGTTACCTTTTAGATTTTAGAATTGGAGTAGAAGTTAATCACTTTTTAGAATAGAATAGTAGCTTCATTTCAAATTTAGTTTTCACAATACATATTACAGCATTACAAAATAACATAAAATGAAATAGTGTTACATATCAATATACGTAAATTACATATCCAAGTAATCATTCAAACAATATGTTTCTATGTCTATTAAGAGTTTCTTGGTTTTATTCTTAAATTCCTTGTAGTTTTCTATTATATCAAAAAGTCGTTTGGTAATTTATTAAATATTTTAATACAGTTGTAAGATGGATTTTTTTCACTTAAAGTTAATCTATGAATAGGATAATATATATCTGTGGTTCTTGTATTGTACGTGGTGTTAGTGTTAAATATTAAAAATTCATTTTTGTTTTTATGCAAATATAAAAGGCATTCGTGTATGTATAGACCATAAACTGTTAATATACCCAACTCCCTGAATTTGCCTCTGCAGAGTCTCTAAAACTTATGTTAAGCAATATATCAGATTATTGCTTTTGGGTTACAAAGACTGATTGTGTTGAAGAACTGATTCCCCAGAAAATGATACCAAAATTTGCATAGCAAAGGATTTTTTTTAACTTTGTCTTGTTTAGTACTCTGAGTGCAAAACAAATACTGTTCAATTTTTCCACAAAACTTTTAATGTGTGTTGACTAGAGATGTAACGTGAAAAAAAAAACAATCCGTTTTTTTAGGCGACTGTCACAAAAATATTAGTTTTACGGATTCAATATCATCTCTAAAGTATATCTTTTTTGGCCGCATTTACTTTACGGCCGCATTTACTTTATTACTTTACGGCCGCTTTTACTTCACGGCCGCTTTTACTTTACGGCCGTTAGTTTGGTGAAAATAAACAATCCAAATCAAAATGAATGACTTCTTGTTTAAGATCCGACGAACGTTTTTGACGTCATTGATTTGTTTCAGTCAATTTTTTTTTGTTAAACAATGAAGGCAAATGCTGGTGGCAAGTACAAACTCTGGCGAAACAAACTTTACCTGCGGTTTGCACCATTCGACTTTTGGCCTAATGTTTTTTTTAGTAAGTTGCAATTTTTTTTGCCTCTTATACAGGGCGAGTAAAAAAAAATCCGTTTTTCAGCATCGAAATTCTCCACTATTTACAATGGAACGCCCTGTATATCATAACGTCACAAAAAAGAGTCATGAGATAAAAAATTTATAAATATCAAAGTATCTCTAAGTTAAAATACATTTTCTAAGAGAATTTAACAAGTTCCAGTGAGAATAGCGAGATACCCCAAAAGTAGCAATTTGGTATGCAATCTCTGTTGAGAAAAAAATACGGGCCATTTTTCATCAATGAATCAACAATAATAGGAACTGTATACACTACACTGATATGTTGGGAAATTCCTTTTATCCACAATTAGAACGGGAGGGTCTCCTAAACGATATCTATTTTCAGCAGGATGGTGCCTCACCGCCCTCGCCTCATTATTTTTTATTAGCAAGGGATGAATCACTAGATACAGTGTTTTCGAACGTCAAAATACTGAATCGGGAGAAATTGGCGTTGAAAATCGGTAGATAACTGCACAAAATCGGTAAGTATAACATAAGGATAATACACATTACTAAGGAGTGCTTATCGGCCAAATTTTTGGTAATCGCGGCCATATTGGTGTATCACCGTTGCCGCCGTCATTAACTACGTTGTCAGCTGTTTGCGCCAGCGGTCCTAGTTTAGAATTTAAATTTATGATGATAGATATCATTTAATTTTGATTAACATAATCGGTAGAGAGAAAGATGCAAACAAGATTTGAAAAGAAGTTGTTTTGGTTTTAGAATGTAAATTTATGTAGTATGACCAAGTACTTATGTATAAAGCAAAGGCCCGCGGACTCATAACCTGTGATGCAATCAGCCTACGTCAAGGCGAGAACCCGAGGTTGCCTGGGCTGGAACTCTAAGATAGAGATCGTTATCCCTATCGCTATGGCACTTGCTGTCTTCTTCTCTCTTATCGAAATCAATAGAGAGGGGACGCCACTAGAGATAGATATATTGATCGCTATCCGTTACAGAGTTCCAGCCCTGATAACCTTATGACGTCTGGGGGGCCTCAACATAATGCAAATCTCCATAAAGCACCCCAGATGCGTCATCAGGTTATTCATTACCAGGCAACCTATGAACTTTAGGAACCTTGGCGAAAACCAACTGGTGATTTGACGTGGTGAGGGGCTCCAGATTTGTTCTACAGAGGTCTTATGAGGATAGGTTAACCTATATAGTAGTAGTGTGTATTATTCTTGGGTATAAAAGGTCTGTTTCTGCAGAAATCACAAACCAGTCAGAGTGAATTTCATTGGTTGAAACTAGTTTTCTGTCTGTTTTCAACCAATGAAATTCGTTGTTGTGTTTTGTTTTTAATTTTTTATTTCGTTGAGTATGTAAAATGTAAAAGCCCAGTAATTGTTTCCGTCAAAGTATATTTGTTTATGCTGTTTTCATTCGATTTATTGCTGGAAATGTGCGCTCAACATTGGCGGAAGAATGGGGCAATGACAAAATATTAAAAACAAATTCGGATATCATAGGACCCACGGGTATTCCCTGAAAGAAATGCACTGATTGTCACTGATACCAACCATTGCTAACAAATTTGTCGTCGGAGGATCTAGTATCTAGGTATTTGACATCTGACAGTTCTGAAACGGACACAAAATTTGATAGATTGGCGAAAACAAAAACGATAAAATTGATTTTCTGGCGAAAAACGGTAGAAAAATCGGTAGAATCGTAATTATTGTCGAAAATCGGTAAAAATTCACCAGTATTCTGTATTTCGGTAGGTCTGTTGCCATTTCGGTAGAAATACCGAAACACTGACTAGATATGACATTTGGAAAAGATAGATCCTATAGAATGGATACATCTCTCCTGACTTGATAGTTCCACGCTTTTTTCGCTGGATTTATGTCAAGGAGAGATCCTGTAATCCTTTGCCAAATAGCTTAGGTGATCTGGAGAATCAAGCTAACAAGTCAATCAATAGAATAGCATCATGGTTGAGGAAAAATAGATTGTTATTAAATACAGGAAAAACTAATTGTATGTTGTTTAGCACATATAATGACAAAGTTCCTGATAGTCTTAGGATAGTTATTCATGATCGGGATGGAGAATGTAACATGTGTAGCTGCAGACCATTGGAATGTACTAGAAGTACTAAGTACTTAGGTGTTGTGGTAGACAATAACATGAAATGGAAGCAACATATAATTGGGTTAAATAAGAAAATAAGATATTTATTATTTGTTTTTAAAAACCTTAAACATGTATTGGACACAAAAACCCTGCTGATGATCTACTATGCCCTATTTGAATCTGTGGCTACATATGGTAACGTCTCTTGGGGATGTGCATATGTCAATGTGATAAACTATGTACAAAATATACAGAATAAAATTATTAAAATAATTTTTGGGATAAGAAGTGTGAACCTAAACCAAATCTATAAAAATAAGATGATTTTGACAATTAAACAAAACTACTATTATAAATCATTAATTACAAATTATGACTCCTTGAAAATTCAATATTTAGGGTCAACTGGGGACACTGGGGTATATGTAAACGGTTTTATTAACTTTGTTTACAATTTCCCAAAAAAATGTTTTGTTCCTCTTATTATTCAAGATGCAATCAATAAATATCAGTAGCGTTTTATTTCATGTATTTGGTTTGGATGTTTAATATAAAAACTTCAAAAAGACAATATTTCTTTTTTATTTTAAGTCCTTAAAAATAGGTGTGGTGTTTACATTTACCCATAACATTGGGGGTAAATGTAAACACTCCATATCTGTACACTTCATTTTAATATGGGTACAAAAGGGAAAATGTGAACAAATCGATAATACGTTTTTTTCGTTAGAAGTATAAATATCTCAAACGATGCTTAAAATTACCCCAGAATTAGATTATTAAATTAATAACAATATATACCCATGTGTTTTTGAGTCTTTATTTCTAAAAGTAAAAGTGAACAAAGACATATAAAATCATCTAAACTTAAGTTAACTACAGAAAATATGAATACAACCCAAACTAAAACTAAAAACACTCTTGAGGTAAAGTTCGCCTTACGAGTCTAGCACTATGGAATGAATGCGGATAAAAAAATTGCAATATTGCATATTTGACATCCAATAGAAAATACC